TAATATAGGGTGGAGAATTAGGTGACCTTGGTCTCACTGGAGGACAACAGAAGTATAGCTAACAATACATAATTTACACTTTTTCAAAATTGTTTTTATTCCAAAGATGGAAAGTAAATCGTACTTTTGGGGCGACTCCCTCATGCCCTTCAAAATGGCTCTGTGGGTTTATCGGTAGGGGGAGTGGGGGAAGCATCCAGCTGAATTGAAACACTGTTCCTTGGAAATATATGTGTTGAATAGGGACAAACGTAGATTTCCAGTCTATTCAGTCTGCACCGCCAGTATAAAACTGGCCCGTCAAAAGTGGAAGAGGCCAGCGAGGGCTGTGTGGTGGTGACATCAGTAGTGCATGTTGTGCCAACCAAAGCACAGTAGGCCACAGGGTTCCCCTTCAAAGGTTCTGAACAGCTTTCAGTTTGAAACAAGTGGAAGTTACTCATATCCTGAAACAAGAGGGCAAGCTGGAGAGTGCAAACAGGGGAAGGTTGGTGGTGGAAGAACATCAGAGAGACTCGACTGTTCCAGAGTCTGATGAAGAGCATTTTCCCCCTTTATGTACTAAGGAAGGTACATCCTGCCTTCTTCAGCTGCCCTACAGTACTTAATATTTTGAAAAAGATATAGATGCCCAAGAGAAGATTCTGTGGACAGCCAAAGGCATCATGGGAAATAGTGTTAGCTACTGAGTGATGTGTCACAGCGGAAGAAAGAAAATGGAAAGCAGTGTCAGGAAGCCTTCCCTAATCCAGGTGTTTTTGCCCTCAAATCCCAAGAGCCCCAGCTAAAATGGACTATGAAAAATCCGAAAGAACTGGAAATATCAGCCGGAACCAAGCCAGAAGAAGACACCAAGTCTCAACATGTTGCAAACACATTGATTTTAACCATTTTGAAATGACCTGGCAGTGCTCAGATCAGGGGAAACCCTACGCTTTTTCATACCATCATCATAGAACTGTAGGGCTGGAAAGGACCCCATCAAGTGCAAAAAGCATCTCCAGCAGGAGGCCATCGAACCACTGTTCTGAGATGAAGAAGGGTCCACTATCCTCTGAAGGAGTCCATTCCACTGTTGAACAATGAAATCTCCATTCTCCTAGTATGAATAGTTCATGTTGGATGCTCTGGAGCTATGGGAAGGAAGCCCGTCTTCCATGTCGGAGCCCTTCAGATATTTGGCTTTTCAGTCTTGGCTAAGCATACCCAACTCCCTCAGCTATTCCTGAAAGGATTTGTTTTATAGACCTTTTCCTTGTCAATATCCTTCTTAAAGTGTGGTGCCCAGAACCGGACACAGTATTTTGAGTAAGGTGTGGCCAAAGTGAAATAGAGTGGTACTGTTACTTCCCTTGATCTTGACGCTGGATTTCTGTTGACACAACTGAGCATTATATTTGCCTTTTCCCCCATCATATCATAGTGTTGACTCATGTTAAGTTTGTGGTCAACTAAGAATGCTAGATCCTTTTCACATGAACTACTGCTAAGTCAGCTGTCACCCAGCTTATATATGTGCCTCCGGCTACTGCTGATGTCCTGTCCTAATTGTAGAAGTTTATATATTTGATGAGAATTCCCTCCACACCCTCATCCTAGTCATTTATAAAATTGTTGAACTTTATTGGGCTTAGGATAGAACCCTGTGAGACCCCCTTTGGCTCTTCTGTTCAGGATGATGCAGAACCACTGGTGAGCATTCTTTGGGCATGGCTTGCCTGCCAGCTACAAATCAACCTGACAGTATCATCGTCTAGCCCACTTATTACAAGCTTGGCTGCTAAGGCATCCTACAGGACTTGCTCAGAAGCCTTTTGCTGAAATCAAGATGTGCTGTATCTGCAGAGTTCCCTTCATGTGTCAATCCTGTGACTCAGTCAGAAAAAGAGATGAGATTAGTCTGGCATGACTATTTTTTAAGAAGCCCTTGTTGGCTGTTGGAAGGCACAGTATTTTTTTCTAAGTGCTCACGGACAGACTGTGTAATTATTTGTTCTAGAATCTGTCTAGTATTGATGCCCAGTTGCCTGGTCAGTAGTTCCCTGGATCTTCTTTCTTCTGCATTTTGAAGATGGGGATGCTCTTTAGTTCACTTGGTTGGCTTGCAGGTGAGGGCCTTCTCTATAGTGACTTCTGTCTTGTAGCTTACCCCTCAGTTCTTTCCATGAGTAAACTTTGTTTCAAATGAGCTGTTCTATATGTTAATTTTATTTCTTTCCAAGATGAGTCAGTAGCAAGATGCTTTTTTTGGCAGAGATAAATAAAGCACATGCTGTGGCCTATTAGTTTGCAATGTAGGTTTTGCTGTTGGCATTAAATCAGAAAGGTGCATTTATTGATCTTAGCGCTGCTGATATTGTACCTGCCCAGTAAGTGCTACATAATGGCTTAGAGCATACACTGTTTGTCATGGGCCTACTAGGAGGTATCACTTCCCAGGCTGACACATTTAATGGCTTGGATGAGGGACAAACTTGATTCAGAGGTAACAAATGTGTCACGGTGCATTGCTAATAGTGCTTCTCAGGCAGCAGCTCTCTTTCACATGTTTTTTTTAATTCATGGTGGGGTAGTTTGAAAAATATAGGAAGAATGGAATCATAGAATAATAACATTATATGGTTGGAAAGGACATCATAGAGTCTACCGTCCAACTGAAGCAGGAAAACTGTAGGTAAACCATCCCTTGCAGAGAGCCATCAGACTTCTGTTTAAGAGCTTCCACTGTAGGAAAATCCACCACTGTCCAGGATAGCAGCTTCCATGGTCGAACCAAGGAGTTTCAAGCCACTCCTTGGAATTTTGTTCCTGACTGGCTACATTGCTACCTAGTCCAGGTCACTTTAGTTGGACTCACATACATCCATGGCATATTTTCACTTAATTATGGTTCAAATTCTCCTCCTGCACAGCTGGCTTTTTGTGATACTACATTTGTATTAGGTTCTTGAAATTGCCTCGGGTCAGGATTGTTGATCTACATACATCCTGAGCCCAGTTCTACCACATAGGGCCTGTTCTGGCATTAACCTTTGTGATACTCCAGGAGTATCATTGGAAACCATGGACCACTCCAGACAGCACCTTGCTATATTCCACACTACTTTTATCCTGTCAAAAAGCGAGACACCGCCTGTGTAGGATCAAACGGCATCGTGGAGCTAAACCAGGCAGTCTGGAGCTCTGATGGAGTCCAGGTGACAGACATGGATTATATCAGAGCTCCAGCCTGCCTGGGACATTTTCACAGTGCCTTCCCTTCTTTTCTACACCAGTAGGGACCCTGTTTTGGCAGCTATGATTTGCTTATCGTGACCATGATATCAAAACAGGCGCAGAAGGTGATGAATGGTTAAGCCTATCGGAATCAAAAGGTTTCCAGTCCATCCATCCTGAACAGCAAAAAGGGAATAGATGGGGGTCTACAAGCATGGAGAAAGATAGAGATTGTCTAAAGTTGGCAAGAACAACCCGGTCTGGTCAAGAATGATAAGAGAGCCAGTAAGGAGACCTGGGAAAAACAATAGTTTGGTACATGAATTGCTTCCTCCTCCTCCTCCTCCTCCTGATGGTATAATTTCTGAGATCTGCAGCTGCTTCTAATACTGAGTGAAATGTCTTGATATTGTTCCCAAAGCCCTGATGACTCTTAAACTCATAATGTTGGGGTCGTGTTCACTGACAATTAGCCAGACAATTTTAAAGAGAGATTAAAAAGCGGAACTTCGGGAGATTTCCTTGTCAACTATTGGTTTTGGCTTCTTTGGCGAAGCCATTACACCCCCTTCCGTGGTGTGTAATGGAAATGATGCGGTGGTGCCACTCTTGGTGAGCCACCCTCGGCACACCTGGTGCTTTCCGTTTTTCCGAGTGCTGCATCGGGTTGTTGATTTTGCTTCAGTGGGTGGAGGATTTCCTCCCTGACCGGTGCCGCCTCGTGAATGCAAAGCAGGCTGATGGTTGAAGCCAGCAAACAGAGGCAGACCATCGGAAGGAGTCCGGTCCCTCCCCCGAGAACCTTCCAGTCTGAAATGCAGTGCAGTGGAGATAATAGAGGAAGTTTGTTTTCATTGCTTGCCATTCTCCTCCTTTGGTGATGCAAGAGAGCGTCTTCTCTTTATGAGGTAAACTGGTCGACTCTGGGGAAGCTGGCCGTCCTCTGGAAAGGAAGGGCTTCTCCCACTCTTGCTGGATGCCTCCTCTTCTATCGTAGGGAAAGATTTTAATTCATTTCCCTTCTAGCCAGAAAATATGAAAACATACATGGAGTCTGTGAATGTCGGGTCTCAAGCTCATGTCGGGTCTCAAACTTGCGACCCACACACCATTCTGGCCAGGGGTGTGGACTGTGGGGAGGGCCAGGCACACCCGCTGAGAGAGTGTCAGCAGCAGTAAGTTTGGGCAGATCAGGCTATAGTGCGGTGACTCTCTACATTTGTGGCTCAGGAATACTAGACAGTGTGAGCAACATTCCCTCTAATTTTCGCTGGGCCCCTTGTGTGCGTGACTTCACCGCTGTGCACATGCAGTTCCCCCTCCCCACAGGGTTCCGTCAGGACCAGAACAAAAAGGGCTGAAAACGATTGCTGTTGGTGTGTGGAGGAGGAGGAGGAGGAGGAGGAGGAAGGCTGCGTGGAGGGGGGCAGAGTTGTACAGGAGGCATATATTAGAGGGACCCTTGGGTGCGAGCAACAAAGATATTCTGCTCATGGCTGCCCATCACTGCCTCTGCCCTGCCTTGCTGTTCTTGTGTGTGCTGAGTCTGATCCCCCCTCCCAAAAAATTTGGTTCCTACATAAAGAAACTGGACACCTTTTGTTCTAGCCCTGCCGTTAGCCTGAGGAGATATGAGCTTCTCTCCTTTAAATGAGAAATACACTGTCACCAGCGGCAATGTTTATGCAATGATAGATTCAGCCCCACTGCTGTGCATGTCCATATTTTTCTCTAGAACTTATCCCAGACTCCTCTTCCCCCCTTCCTTCACTTTTCTTTTTTAGATCGATGCATTGGGCAAAAGAAGCAAAGAAGCTGAGGCGGCATTTCTGAATGTCTACAAGAGATTAATTGATGTTCCAGGTATGCAGACTTATCCTCCTGTTGTTTAAACCAAATGATAATCTGTACTCTCCTGTCCTGGTGGGCATTTTTTGTGTTGTGATTGGCTACCTGTTTGAGAGACAGGTCTTCCCACCAGTTGCTGTGCTCTTAACATTTTCCAATGGAGAGACATAATACAGGAAGTGCTCTGGTTGGTATCATGCATATATATATCTTTAAAACCTTTTGATTTTTTTCATTGTCAGCATTAAAGTTATGTTGCTTTTCAGCAGTACTTCAAACCATTAGCCCTGTCATATATTTTGGCTGGCCATTCGGCCGTATTTTAAATTCAATGAATACCCTTTCCCACCAGCACCCCAGCTCTTTGTCCCTTTCCACCTTCCATTTTGTTTGGATCTTGCTTCTTTCTTGTGTGTACAAATAAGGCCGAAAGCGACTGTCTCTTCTGAGTTATTTTAAGAGCAGAAGTAACAGTGACGTGAATTTTGTTTGTGACTAAGGTGTGTGTGTATGTCGCTTCCAAACCTGGCATCGTTGCCTCGTTTTTCCCATTGAAAATCCCCCCTCCTATAAGCCTCTGTTTCCACTAGAAGAACACAACATTGTTGTGTTTTTGAACTACACCTTCCAGAAACCCCCATGCGGCACATGGTCCTGCTGCACGGGGAATTCTAGCAGTGCCTGATCTGAGTGGATCACGCCTGCAGGTTTGTATCCAAAGGTGCCATTATAGGAAATGGCACATTTCAGAGCAAATGACTTGGGGGGGAAGAGGATGATTTGGAAGGACAGTGTGTGTGCTCATGGAGAAGGTTGCCCTCCTCACACACCCCCTCCACTACAGCAACCCCAATTTTGATCATCCATTTTTGGCGGCGGCGGCAGCTTTGTGACAAAAGCTGAGGAGGTGTGTGCCTTTTGCAAGCCTCGTTTTGAAGTAGAAAGCCGCTTGTTCAAGGGACTGGGGCTGGCTTTTGGTCGACTTTGAGGAGGATCTGCTGCAGGCAGTCTGTAGTGCCTGCAGAGCAAACCTGCCTGGGGACCTAAGGCAAAAAAAGAAAAAGGATGAGCTTCCTATGGGCATGGTGCAAGGGGCTGTAACTCTTCTGTCAGTGGCCTGGCGGCATCCTGGGGGTGAGAAAGCCTCTAGGCAACCTGGGTTTATTAATTTTCTGGGGAATAATTAGTGAATGAATTAGACTGGAAGGCATTTGAATATTCAGAAGGTGTGATTATTCCTGTTTTGATTTGAGACGTGTTTTTGTTTGTGGAAGGATATACAAAGGTTTCCTGTGACAATTTCTTGCATATTTCTTTGGGTGTGTAAGTCGCACTACAGATTTATTTATTTACTTTTTACTTTTTTTAATTCTGGCCTTGCAACGGTCCTGTGAGCTGGAGGAAGCTGAGGAGGAATCGTGGGCCGGGCGAAGCCATCTGGGAGCTCAAATCCAAGGCCAGCCTTCTGCTCTTTGCCCCGCATTGAACCCACTGTGTTTGAGGGTTGCCTTGCTCAGCCCAGAGAGAGAGAGAGAGAGAGAGAGAGAGATTTTTTCTGCCCTGAAAATTGCTCAGAACTTCCTGGGGGCAGAATAAAAAAGACACTTAGAAACTCTTTTTGCTTCTGGATGGTGCTGATGGTGTGCAGTGGCCTTTAAAACCAAACAGTACGTTTTAAAAGGACTTGCCGGAGGCCTCTCTCTCTCTCTCTCTCTCTCTCTCTCTCTCACACACACACACACACACACACACACACACACCCCTTTTTCCATCTCCTTCCTCTCCCCCTGCCCTCCCTCTTTCCTAGTTCTTCAGTGTGGGAGTTTCTTTCGAAAGAAAGCGGGCTGAGCGCTTTTTTGCTTGAAGACCTGGTTTTGGGGGAAAGCAGCGGTAAGGCGACCTCGCCGAAAGGAGTCGGAAGCATCGGGGATGAATTATTTTTAGAGCCAACCCTTCGGAAGCACATTACCAGCTGTATAAAATATTAATTGCCTCTGTGGTTCTGCTCATGTTTCATAACGGGCTGTCTGACTGATGTCAGTGTTACATGGGCCTGTAATGAAGTCCTTTTGTTTTAGCTTTCTGCATCGCCCACTCCCCCCCCC